TTAAACAGAGTGAATAAACTTGAAAACAAACTTTTTGCTTGAAATTTAATTTATTTTCAAGTGAAAATAGTTCTTATTTTTTACATTGCTCGGAATTAAATATTTAGAATTATAAAATGGTAGAAATATGTGTGCAACAGGTTTTTGCTTTTAAATTTTTGAAAATAACTGCGATAAGGACTAACTTGTCGAGACTAAATAGTGATTTAGGGCACTAACTCGATTAATTTGTGCAGAATATTTATGCAAAAATCAGAAGAATCTAAAAAATGAAATAATATAAAGATGAATTTTGATTTTTCTATAGGAAGTAGTGAAAAAAAATCATACAAAAGTAGTAGTTTGAAAATAAAATTATCTGATAGTGAATTTGATATTTGAACTGGATATTAGAAAAGCAATAATAATTTTTAAAATATTCAAATAAACTAATTGAGATATAGAAACTTACTCAGCTGAAATAATTATTGCACATTTGAAATAAATCATTAAATAAAGATTTTTTCCATTTTACTTTATTCTAATTAAATTCATTTGGGACAACTGCAAGTCATAATTCGATAGCTTTTGCAAGAAATTAAATTGGTTGTTGATGAGATCAAATTCATAAAGAAGTAATTTAATAAAAAAAACGACCGTATTGACGAGCGTAGATTTATGGACCAAAATAATCTGAAAATGTCGTCATGCAAAAGCTCATCTTGCATATTATTAATAAAAATAATTGTCTCGTCCATATTATTATTATTCAAATCAATCCTTATGTGCTTAATTAATAAATTTATGGCTTAGCAAAATAATTGGTTTACAAACAAACACAGTTATTTGAAGTGTTGATCATTCCTTAAAATTTTCAACTTATACTTTAAAACGCAGGCTAAACCCTTCATAATGAAATACCTATATTAAATATACCTTTTCGAAAATTATATTGCTGTTGCTCATATTTAATTGTACCACTACTTGCTAGATTAGATCAATTTTCACACTGAATATTATTATATTTGCAGTTTGAAAAAAAAATTCTTTTTCAAATTTGTCAACGATCCGTAGCCATAAAGCGTTTTATTTTTTAAATACAAATATTCAAATATTTGAAATTATAAGTAAAACAAATATTCAGATATTTGAAATTATAAGTAAAACAAATGAATCAAATTCAGTTCACAATCGAAAGACTAAATTATTTGAAACATATTTAGAATTAACTTCTGACTACGTGAAGTAATACTCATTCGAATAAATTCTATTCTATGAAAAAATGAAAATAATAATTTCATATTTATATATTCATTTATATGGAAATATGGTATAGCATATTTCTGCAATATAAACTTAATAAAATTCGGTCATAAACGATTTGCGTTTGCCAATCTGAATTAATTAACAGAAATTTGAAAATTGAAGCATTTATTACCGAACTAAAAAATATGCAAATACGAAGAATCTGGTATGTGTGTGCATGAGTAAAGCAAACAACCACGTAGAAATGTCAAAGATAAAATCAGAATCTTCATCAACGAAGAAGCTTGGCTTCTTTCACCTCCTTGAGCACTCGTATCTTTCTTTCTTCTATTTGATGCCGATTCTTAGCAGATGAAGCCGTACGTCTCACTAATGCTTTGTTTAGAATTTTAACGGGACTCTGCTCAATTTCACCTTCTGTAGTTTTTTTCTCACAATTCACAGTCACAGGCATGATTATCGATAGTGGCAGTAATGTCTATAACTACTCACCATTTCAAGTATATTCCAAACTTTGTTATTTATATAAATATTTTGGTAACAGCAAAACTAAAAATGATTGCAAGATATTATACCGTATTACTGCATTATACTGTCTAATTATTACAGCATTGAGAGGTAGTCTTGTAGGTTTTGTTCTTACCAGAAGCATGGTAATTATAGACATCCAAAGTTGTATCATATTATAGTTTGTTGTTGTAGAATCCAATCTAATACAAGTGCTTTGAGCTGAATCGCTTATTACAAACACCTCAATAATATTGACTACAGTTATCAATTACTGTAAGATACTTAAATAATCCAGTTTACTTTGACTCAATTAATTGTTCATTTTGGCTATAAAATATTAGTCAAAACCGATCATATGTCAAATTTTGATTCAGACGGATATCACCAAGTTTATCAATTAAAAAATTTTAGATCAAATATGTTATTAGAAATTATATCACTCCGAAAAATTCAATAACTTTTTAACGTTACTTCATTGATATAATTTCTAACTTATGGAACAAGTTAGAAATTAAATCAATAAAGTAACAATATATATCGTGATTTTTGTGAATGTAGTTTATTGTCCAAAAATAAATGCAAAAATAACTTGCCAGATAACTTTTTGGCATCGTACATTCAGCCAACCCAACTGTAATACAAATATAAAACCATTATTTTAGTTAGTTTTTATAGCACACTTTCTTCACGCAAATTCTTCGATGCAATATTATGCAGATGGATATGATTGAAATTGATAAGTATCAAGTGATCAACTTATCATTAATCTTGCATGACATTTTGCATAATTTTTTGATTGCTGAAATAAGTTTTATTCAGAAAAAATACTACAATTTTTTGTGCTTATAATATTGCTCAGTGATTTTACAGTTTTTGCGAAAAATCAAACAGGAGAATGCATTTATTTTCGATTCAGCAATATTATTTGTTGGCCTACCAATGAATCCATGCTTCTGATTACTCTTTATTAAAGAATCATTTGACAGCGAAATAGACTCACCAGTACCGATGGTATACAAAATTCAAATTAATTAAAATAATAAAAAGTCTCAATGAATAATCATACATTCTACCAAAAGGCATGAAAGAGAGCGTGCAAAAAAGATGCAAGCAGTGAAATCATTAAAAGCTATATGTATGATAGCAGAGAAATATCTTTAGCGTAAAGTCTTTTTTGAAGTTTTTTGTCGCGAAATGAGTTTTTGCCTGACAGTGTAATAAATCAGTAAGAATGAAGTGATTAAGAGACTACTCGGAGTAAGTATTCTTGCATGAGATAAGCAATAATTCGAAGAAAATATGGAGTACGGAAAGAATATGTGGCCAGAATTGGTCGACCTTCAGCTCCTTTTTAACAGGTAAACTTTAGTTCTGTAATTAATCCTGATCCGGTAAGTTTGTTGAATTAGTTTACTTAATTTCCTTAATGGTTTTTTTCAAACTGTTTTAGTGAGAAAGAAGATTATTTTGTGAATAGTATTGAAAAGGCATATTCTTTCGTAAACAAAATAGACCCAGCAGTACCGACGGTATCTGAAGATTTGATTACAACTGACGACGAAATGATTTGGCAACAAATCGCTTTTGGAAATAAGAAATTTCATCGATATTATGAAAAAAACAAGGTTTTCGAAACTTCAGTTTTCAAGAGTGAACTCAAATACTTTCATTTCATTTGTCTAGAATTATATTTCTTCTACCGATGTATTAGAAGATAAATTTTACTTTAGTATATTATGGATGCGGAATATAATCTTATGAAGCCAAATAAGTTAGAGCAAAAGATGCAGCCTGTGATATCAAAACCAGACTCGCAGCATAGAAGTTCATGTGACGTCGATAATGATGATGTTAATTCATTCAATCTTACCCAGAAGCAAATTGAAGTATGGATGATTTTTTATATTGAGACGAACAAGGTTTTATTGTCGTTCATCGTACTAGAGTACTAGTAATTTAGTTTGTTTGAAAATTATAGGATATCGAAAAATCGGAGGACAGTGATATCTATGATAAGGAGAATGATGCTTCAAGTGGCGAAGACCATAATACTACAACACTAGATCATGTGGAGGTGCAGAAACGATCGAAGAGTGTTGTTGATGATCGTTTTTTTTCTTTGGCAGAAATGCACGAATATTTGGATGAACAGGAAAGAAATGCACCAGATCCGAATGAAAGTCTGTTTGAAGAGTTTGATACAGTATGTGCTTGAATTTGCTTTGTTTCATAGGAGATAAGTATTATCTTAATCAGTATGTCGTCATATATTATTTTGTTATAAATTTTTTTGTGAGGAATTTTATAAAGTGCACTAAACAAATGCATATCCGTTTTAATTTTTCTCACCGTATCCGAATAAATTTTTTTCTTCAATTATCAATTAATTACTTCCCTTAATTTATATTAATTGTTCTCAGGATGATGATGATTTATTGAATGCTAATGATGATTATCGTTACAAAGAATTTTACGAAAACACAAAGAATGGTGAAAAGCTGGAAAAATCTGATGAAGTTTGTTCTTGTTTTTCTTAATATTCCTTTACTTAATTCTTAAATTAACATTTAATTGCAACTTTTATTTTGTATAAAGTTTTGTAATTTTTACTTTGTGTTTTTCATTTAGCATTGACTGTTGCAGATTTCTCGTTCTAATGAGGCCCAGAAAAAAGTCAAGAAAAAAGTTAGATTTGCTGATGAGACTATAAGTGACATAGTTTCATCAGCAAATGTGAAAAGTGATGATAATGGTACTGAAGAAAGTGCCGATGATTATAATGATGAGCGAGGTTTTCTTATTTATTTTATAATTTTTGTTTTTTAAAAATCAGTGCAGTACTCAGTTGACGAAATTTATTCATTTTCGCATTTCAGAAGATACAATATTACTTGGTCAAGTAAGTGATGAAGAAAATGATGAAACTGATTTTCAATGTCGACAAAAAAAGGTAGGATTTTACAAGACATTTGCATCTATAGTATCATTTGATATTCTGTTAAACAGTATAATTTCAGCTTCAAGAACGAATCTCTTCAATAGAAAAAATCAACTTGGCTCCTAGAAGTTGGGATTTGAGCGGCGAAGTAACAGCTATAGAAAGGGATGAAAATACTATGCTGGAGAAGTATTTGGATTTCGATCAGTCGGTTCCATCAAGTTATTTTTAGCTTTTCGAAAACTCGTTCCACTAGAATACTCATAACATAGAGCGTTTAGTTGCCTTATTAATTAAAAATTTATTAATAGATGACGTTTGCAGAACCAATTATTACGATTGATGAAACCGCTAAACTGGAAGCAATGATAATGCAACGAATTGTTGATAAAGTTTGTTAAAAAATTTTTTCCTTCAAATCACTGCTATTGAACTAATTGTGCTTAAATCATTATCAGTTTTGCCATAAAATATCTTTGCCTAAAAATTTATGCCACTATTATTTCAATGAATTGTTAAAGATTCATGTATATTTAGGTATTTGATGATGTTGTGCGAAAAGAGCGTGATCCAAAAATGAATGCAGCATACCGCGCACCCGTTGTAGAAAAAGATGTTGTAAAGAAATCTCTCACCGAAGTTTATGAAGAGCAGTATCAAAAAGTGCACAACAGAGTACTTATTTTAATTTTCTGTGACAGCTTAATTTTTGTTGTTTTGTAAAACTTTTGTATGAAATATGGATTATTGCAGGTAACAGAGGGGACAGAAGTGAATGAAAAACATGAAGAAATTAGAAAATTGATATCATCATTATTTCAGAAGCTGAATGCTCTTAGTCATTATCGTTACATACCTCCCGAGGTAGTGTTTGATAATATGATATGACCTTCAGTGCTTTTACTTTTCATTATATGTCATTTTCCTTGTTCAAAAAGTGTTATTATTATCGCTATTATTTGTGAATGTGATTACTTCAGTTTTGTTTTTCAGGTAAGTCAAGAAATTCGTGTTGTAAATAATATGCCTTCACTACAAAAAGAAGAAGTAGGACCTATGGCCTCCACTGATGCTGTTCTTTTAGCTCCTGAAGAAGTTTATAAACATGTTAATGGTCTAGTAAAAGGAGACGATGAGAAAACAAAAACTGATCGATCTCGTGCTCATCGACGGAAAAAGGTTAGTTGCATCATTTTGCAGATTGGATATCTTACTTAATAAAATAAAGAATCGACATAACTTCTTTACTTTAACAAGGGATAACTAGAAGCGTTGATGAATTCAAAAAGGTTATGTGTTTTGCAGCAAATTTTTTATTCCTTTTTTTACGTCTATTTTTACGATAATATTGCGGAAGTAAACTACTGATATTCTACACCAGTGCTACTTAATTGTATATTCTCGTGGCTAAATTTTAGAAATGGCAGCATATACGACAGTTAAAGCGTCAAGAAGCAGAACTTGTCATTGAAAATAATGAAGTACCATTTAAGAAAAAGAAGATTATGCCTCAGTATGACAAAAGGAAAGGAGCTAAAAAACTAACGTCTACCTCATTTTTCCAAAATCTTCAGACGAAAGTCACGGAAGAGGTAATTTATTCATCAAAGTTTTCAATATCGAAAATTGAGATTACAACGGTGTTTCAGTAACGTAGTAGAGGGAAATGAAACTAGTCAAGATGTGGGTTTTTTGTAACCAGTTAAAGGTTGTAAATCATGAACACTGGAACCCGTAAATGTTTTTATTGTTAATAATATTCAGTGAAGCTTCAGTGATGTCTATTTTCTATGTTTTTAGCTAGGAATTTTTTAGGTGAGAGCTCAAAAGAATAAAACCAGTGATTTGTCGAAAAAGAAGTCGGGCGCTAACTATAAATTATAAGCAAAAGAATTCTGTTGATGCTAGTTTCAGTTTTTGTGCTTGATCAGTTTATGGTTTGAACATTGTTGATATTATTTGTGCTTGCAATAAATAATAATTCGAAATTTGTATTTAGCTAATAGCATTTTATGAATGGATTCATGTACCATTCTTTTAATGATGGTCAAAGCAAAAACAAAAAATGAAAACCTTTAAAATTATCATAATGAGATCTTTCTTATTTCATAGTAACAGTAGTCCAGTTTATATTAATGTTACAAACAAAATTTAAATTTTAATCAGTAAAATCTTACATTTAGTTCACGCTAAGTAGATGGCAAAGAAATATAAACGTGGTAGTTATTTTCAATTCGCTGTTTTTAAAATTATGGTTAATCACTGTACATGGCTACAGTGAAGAATGTTTCACTGCCTATTTGATATAAACTTTTTAAAGTTAGGTGTGCTGGTAATTCGCTTCATCTATTATTTCAATTAGATAAGAAATGGTTTTTGTTCGTAGTATACTATGTTGGTTGTCGAAGCAAAGATCATATCGTCCTGTTTTATCACATTTAATTTCTCCAAATTCAGGATAGAACTGCGTCGATAATGGTATTCGTGGATAGATCTGAAGTGACGGATTGATTTTATCATCAAAATAAATGTAGAAATAGTGATTTTGAAGTAATGATTGAACGAAATTCGAGATCACTTTTATTATTTTTTATTGTTTTGAAGCTTAAGATGTTCTGTTTATTCAAAGTAGATCAGCTTTCTTCTTAATTTTACCTCTTCATCATCTCTCAGAAGGTAGAATTCTATGTCACCACCACTACAAATAAAGTACCATTTCAGTATTTGTCCTTCAGCTTGAATATTAGTGGTAACAGTAGTACATCGACGTGGTGGTACTTTGATCAGTTCCAATTCTCTACCATTAGCCCATTCAAGTGATTTTGCACGTTTTCTGGAAATTATTCGTATTAACACTAAAGAAGTGCCCAATTTTGCATGATTAATTAACGTGGTTTAATTAAAACCGTTATTAAAAATGAATAATATAAAAATGAAATTATTAATTTTAAGTAAGCAAAAGTTATTAATATTCAGTTTTGAATTTGAGAGTTTGAAACAACTTGCATAGCATGCTCAGTTGGTTCGCCACCCATTCGTATGTTAGCACTCGGTTGTGGTGCAGGCATTTTTCCTCCCCAAAATGGTAATAAATTCTCCTCACCAATTTCTTGTACCAATCGACTTTGCCAATTATCTCCCAAAAATTCGACAACATCTCTAATTTTCTACAAATCTCATTACTTCTTGAACTTTGGTGCTTGATCTTACTCTTGACCCTTATTCTCGATCTCACTTCACACCGTTATTATTTGATATTTTCATCAATAATTAATCTTTTGTTCATTTAATTTGGTTGCGTTAAATTCACCCAAAGTATCCATTTTTTAAACCATTCTAGATTGATTTTCTTGAATATGTATATATGTTTGTTTTCTTACTATATAAAAATTTAATATGAACTCAAAACAAGATATTAAACTTTTTTATGAAAATTTGGTGAAGGAAAGGTTGTTTCAGCAATACAAAATTGTAGTTGTATTTGCAGGATGAGATAATTATTGCAGGAGAATCGTGTTGAGAAGAATAAAATTTCAAAAATGCTTCAGAATTGTGATAATTAAATTTTGTCAATTTGGAGCAATGATATTTTCACTTCAAAAGCTTACTATTTCATTTTTGAATTCGGACTGATTTTTTTCTGCTTTTATCAACACAGTACTGCTTTGTTCAAGCTTTGTATTAATTAGTCCAACAATCATTGATGTAATATTTTGCTTAAAAACTAGCAATCACAATACTAATTCAGTAATAACTGTTACATATTTTTAATTCTGACTAACAAAACTTGAATTCAAAATTCAGAAAAATCTGAAAGATTTTATTTTATTTTTTTTTTATCGGATTTTCTATCAATCGATATTAATTTTTAAAAAACCTGATAGATTCTTAATTAAATGATTATTAGTGATATTACAGCAATAACAATTTTGTAATTACATTTGTTTTACTTGACTTTTTTCATTCTATTATTGCAAAAATTATTTTGACTACATAAAGTCCTAAAGGTCTAACTCTTTTACTGCAAATATTGCTTTAACTTTTTTTCAGTTTATCATAGTCAAAAAAGATCGTACTGTATTTTATTGAGTATATCGCAGACTTTTTAGAATTTTTTTTCACGTAATAAGTGTTATCGAAACGAAAAAACAGTTTTCATTTGCTTTAGTACGAAAATCAAAACCTTTGTTAGAAAAAGCTGAATGAAACGAAATGTTTGATACACGAGAGAACTTGTATTGATAACGTATACTTTGCGTGTCACACCAGGAAACATCACCTGAAACTTTCCCCGGATGATTCAACTGTTTGCCTTGTTTTGCGATACATTATCGATTTATAGAATAGATAAATAAACTGAAACTAATTTCAGCTAATCCACTAATACTTTACTAAAATATAGAAAAAAAGTCTAATTTGAAAGAAAAGCTAAAATTGAGATTCAAAAAAGAACTCGTATCAATTCACTATCTAATTTTTCTTTCTGAATTAGTATTTTATCTCATTATTCATGTAAAAGAATGAGCACTAATTGTTTTGCAAAATTATTTGTCCATTTTTTGGAATAAATAGTGAGTTTTTGGTTTTGTACGAATTTCATATGAATTTATGAGATTGAATTATTAAAAGTAAATCTAAAAAATCAAGTATACTGCAATAAATATATAGCGAAAAATCAAAAGTTTTTAAAATTTGACATATGACCTTGTAAAGATTGAGTTTCACTTCTCAAATTTGATTATTCGTTAACTAATTGATCAATTTACCTGTAATATCCTGTAAATATTAGTAGTAAGCTTCAAGTACGAAGGAGTTACAAAGTAACGGTTTAAGCCATTCATATCGAAAATCGCAATTTGTCCAAGTCGTTTATTTCTTCGCTCTTCCTCATTACTAAAATATTTACAAAAATAATCTCTTTTATATTTGAATAATATTAGTCAAAATATTTTTCTGACTACTATTATCATACGTAATTGCTTGCATAGCATTGCTGATGAAAGCATGCGAAAATGAGCACATAAACTTTTTAGAATGAAAAGCAAATAATTTTCATTTTCTTCAATTTACTCACTGAAATAAACGAAATAAGTTTATTTTTTGTTAGTTGATATTTATTAGATTTGCAAATTTCTTATTTACTTTTAATGTTTATTGATTTATTTGCAAAAAATCAGATATGAAATTTGCAAATCTAACAAGGATTGCTAACTGTTTGTAACAGTTTGTAAATTAACTTTGCTCAAAGTACTTATTAAGAGTAATTATTATCATAATGCTATCTTACCAAATTAGCTGATGCGTTACAAAACCTTCGAGTATGAGGAATTTATAATACATCGAAACCCTGCCATTTTGAGTCAATAAAGTTGGATGTGATCTCCCGATAGGTTGAACGTAAACGATATTACCCATTCGATCATAACTCATTAAACCTCCTAAATTACTACCATTTATCATAATAAAACAATAAAATACAAAATTTTTAAATTTGTTCAATAAATAAATTATAGATTCACCCGGGAAAAATGGTATTATGGGATTGTAATTTCTAAGACATTGATTCGCAGCTTCAATGCTTGATGTATCCATTTGATGAGCTCCAATGGCATTCAAAGTACGAAGAGTCCAACGTAGTTTTGGTATCACAGAATCTAAAGCAAATGATAAATAAATATTAAACTAAGAAATAACTTAAAGGGTAATAAAATACTAACCAACATCGTTATCATACTCATCGAGCCATCTTTCCAAACTAAACTTCTTTCCATAACTTGGAAACAATTTAAATTCATCTGCTAATGCACTTCGAAGAGCTCGTTCACATTCTGTCTCCACGTGTTGTACACAAGAATTCTTGCTTTCAACTTGTTCCTTCATCTAGAAATCGAACACAAGTAAGAAGTGTAAGTGCAGTCTGATAACTCTATAGCTGCGTTCTACGAATACATTCATAGACTGATTCAATTAAAACTTGAGATGATCTCAATTGTCACTAAACTACCATCCGCAAACAAAGTTTAGATATTTAAATGCTATGAATGATCAAAAAATCAAATGTATGGAAATTTCGTATTATTATATCAGTAAAACAATTGAAGTGATGCAATGCATTTACGCTGATTAAATTCAAACACATGAAGTATAATTTCCAGTTTTAAGTACTAAAAATTTTCTTCTGATAAGAAATTCGCTCAAGTGCAGATCGTTATGATGAATGTTAAAGTATATCGCTACTATGTGATATTGATAATTCCTTTAGGA